GTCATATTAGAAATTATTCTTGAACTAAGTCACTTATATTTAAAAGAGTTATTAAAGTTGCAGCTCATTTATTTAATTTATTTTATAGTTTAAATTTATCTTTAATTATATTACAATTGGATAATAATAAAAAGATTTATATATCTATAATAAAGAAACTTATATAATTATGACTATTTGTAAAATTATAAATAAATAATCATAATATTTATAATTATAAGATTTAATTGAATAGACCAATGGAATTCTTTAATAAAAGCTTGATAAATAGAAAGAAGATATTAAATAAAAAGATTAATCTTTTAAACTTTGTTTTGTTATATTTTCTATAAATTATAATTTTTATTATTTAAAAAAAATTATATGAGCTAGTATATAATAATAAGTCTTATAAAAATAATATAGTAATTAATGAATTATTTTCAAAGAATATTTTTAATATAATATAAATTCAAGATATTGATAATATTAGAAACTTAAATAATAATTTTATGATAAAATTATTTATATTTAATTTATTATTCTATTTAAATTTATTAATATATTTAATAAAAATTAAAATAATATTTTCTTGAATGAATCTTCTATTAATAATATTATTAAATCTCTTATTAATATTATTATTAAATTTCTTATTAATATTATTATTAAATCTTTTATTAATATTATTATTAAAACTTTTATTATTATTACTATTAAATTTCTTATTAATATTATTATTAAATTTTTTATTAATATTGTTATCATAGTAACTTAATTTCTTAATCTTTTTCTATTTATGCAAAATCACATATTTTTATTATTTTTATTTATTTTATAAATATTTCTTATTTTCATATCATATATTACTATATTTATTATTATATATCTATTTTTAGATACTATATTTTGTTTATATTCAAGTTCTATATTTTTATTATTATTTGTAGTATGATATTTATGTATATAATAGAATAGTATAGTGAAAGATCATTTTTAATTCTGGTAAAATAGTTATACTTGGATATTGATCACAAATATCTTTTCTCATGCTTTGATATCTTTTGATATTTTCTTATATTCTTTCATATCTTTTCACATCTTTCAATATTTAATATTCTTTAATATCTTTTAATATACTTTAATATAATATATTTTTAATTATTTATATTATAGTATTTTAATTATATCTTATATATTAGATAGTATTAACTAGTAATACTATAATAATTTTTGTATCTGAAAAATATATAAAAAAATCTGCTCTTCTAGCATGAAATAAATAGTTTTGAATTGAATTATTTGAAAAATATAATTTTAAAAGATTACTTTTTTTAATTATATTAGTACTCTTTCTTTATTCAGTTTTATTTCTTTGATTATATAAAGTTGACTGTGATTTTTGAATTATAATATTATATTGATTTTTGATTTATTTGATATTATTTTGAAAGCAGAAAACCTTTATTATAAATAAGTTATACTTTTTATTTTATTATTTTTGAGAGTAGAGGACCTCTATTATAAATAAGCCATACTCTTTTATTTTTATTTAGGCATTTAGTTTTTGTACTTTAGTTTTTACCTTTTTTTAGTTATAATCTTCTTTTATTAATAGTTTTATTAATTAATCATTTCAAATCTTGAATTATATTGATTACTAGTAGCTTTACTTAGTCAATCTTTATAATTTTTATGGTTTATTTTATTTTTTTTTATTTATTTTTCTCTTTATTAAAATAATATCTGTAGATATTAGTATAGATCTTAGAAATCTTTATCATTATTAAAAGTATAGTCTAATTCTCCTCTTTTTATTCTTTAATTATTTCAGCCTCTTCTAACTCTATATTGTTAAGATAAATTCAAGTGAAAATCTACTTACTAATTTGTCATAACATATTTTTGATGCCCCCTCTGTGAAGAAAAAATCCTCTTCACATCCCTTATTATATTTATACACTTTTTATATTTTTTTCTTTCTTTATTCATAATTGATAAATATTTGTAACTTGAGTTTTTATAACTAATTATTATTCTTTTATTGGATTACCTATTAATTATCATCTTGAAATACATCAAATTCCTAATTATCCTATTAAAATATTTTCTTAAGACTTTTGCTCCTATTGACATCCTCTTCAATCCCAAATTATTATATAATTTTATATCTTTTATCTGCTTACAAAAAATATTAGAGCAATATCAATTAATCAAATTACATATTTGTTATTTCAAGAACTAATTCAACTTGATCTTACTGAAATATACATTAGCTAATTGAGACAAAGAATAGTACAACTAGTAAATATCTTTATATTTTATTACATTAATACTCAAGAGAAATAACTTAATTTAATTAAATAATTCTATTAATAATTTAGTTATCAAGACTTTACCTTTCAATCAAGAATCCCTTCTGATAATAGTGATATTAATAGATATTACTCTAAAACTAAGGATTCAGAAGATACTCCTACTTTTCCTATTTAATTTATATTAATGCAGAATCAGAAGAAAATAGTGATTCTTTAGATTTAAAAAAAGATATTCAAACTAATTCAGAAGATAATAATCAATTAAAAGAAGAAGAAGATAATCAAATGGCTTAATCAAATAACTTAAATAATCTTATTCAAGCTCTTGAAGCTCTTACTAATTGAATGGCTAATCAAAATACCTAGCTAATAAAGAAAATTATTATTATAATCAGGAAATATAAAGAAAATGATCAAGATTTAACTGAATGGCTAAAAGACTTTAATATCATTATACAAGTTAATAATATTATAAATATTAAAAAAGTATAGCTAGTTAGAAAATATCTAGAAGATATTACTATTCTGTAATATAATAAAAGAGGAAGAGATAATATCACTTGATTAACTGCTTGAAATAATAATCAAAATCAGTCACATAGTTTTAGTCATTAATTTACTATACACTTCTGAACCTGAAAAAGAATTAATCAATAGCAAGATAAGATTGAAATCTTGTAACAAACTGGTATTGTGAAAGAATACACAGATAAATTTATTAATTTACTTTGTAAAGTAGATTCAGAAAATGGATATCTAAAAGAATATAAGATTAGAACTTACAGAAGAGAATTAAAATCAGAAATCAGAAAATAAATTCAGATTTCAGCTAATGAAACTTTTCTAAATATGATATAGTCACAAAGAATATAAAAAAGCAGATGCAGATATACCAACTCATGAGTATTACCAATCTCAGATCTAGAATAACTCAATGCTGAATACTATTTTAATAGCACTTCAAGGTCTCAATTAATAAATAAAAAGTATTGAAATCAATAAAGAATTAAATTATAATAGAAATAATTCAGATCATAGATCTAATAATCAAAATCCTAAACCAGTTTCTACTTGCTATAATTGTGATAAGCCAGGTCATATCCATTCTAATTATTTTCAGCTACAATCATACTGGAATAATCAGAATAACTTTAAAAATAATCATCAGAGAATGAACAGTAACAAAATAATATACTACCAAATCAGGCAAATACTAACAATAATCAAAATACAAATAATAATAAAAATGCAATATTGGCCCAAATACAGGCTCTTACTGACAGTATTCAGATATTAACTGTCAAATTAGATAATATAAATTTACTATTTAATACATATGAATACTTGGCTACTGAAAGGAAATTCAGAAATTCCAGAACTACTTCTTATAGAACCAGATCTGTAAGTTGATCTTGTAAAGAAACAGTTAATGAAAATGAAGAATCAATAAGGAAGAAGAACAAGAAGATATCCCTGAAGTTATTCTTGATCAAAATATCATACGAGTGGAAGCAGATTTACTAGTACAATGGATAAAAAAAGCTAATATTTATAATTCAACAAAAATCAATTTTTTTGTCAGATTAAACATGATTATTCAACAGATAAAAAATCTTTTAATCTGATAAAATTTTTTATCGGATAGTTTTTTTATCTGTCGAATAATAAAATAAATAACAAAAAAAATTTTATAGGGAAAAATAAAGTTTAATCAAACAGATAAAATTTATCAAACTGAATTTTCGCTGAAATCTGGCTGATGCTGAAATTGACCCAATGAAATTAGAGAATAAAAACTGATCAGCCAATGAGATGCGTTAAGTTCAGCTTCAGTCAGATTTCAGACAATTTATTCTCGATAACTTGGATGATTTTTAGTACATAACGATAAATCTGTCTTGCACCATTTAATTGAAGGCAAGTTTACATACAACCTTGTCTCTTTACCCATTTATCCTTATCCTGACTCTAATCGGACGTAATGAAAATTCGGAATCCAAATTAGGAAATTTTTAAATTTGATTCAGCAAAAGAAAAAAAAATTGATGAATAAATGTAGGATGGGTCTTTTAGCGACTCAAGGACAAGTTGAATCATTTGAATCATATGAGCTGTTTTAATTTAATATGATAACCTTGTTTAATGACACTGTAATCCTTTTACGATTATATGTGTATTCAAACCACTATTTTGACGGGCGATCAAAAATTTGTGCGTTCTTATTGGTTATTGACAAAAAAATTTGTGCATTCCTATTGGATGAATTACAGATTGGGAAATTTGAAATTTGGTTCAGAAACATTTTTCACCATTATCAATACGTAAAATTGGTTTTTTGATATATTAGCCTTCAAAGCTCTTTTTTAAATAATTTTATTTAATACCTACTGATTACAAAACTTTATAAATTACTACTGAATTTTTACAAAGTTACATTTTTTTCAATATATAAAATTACCAGAACTTTATACATCAAAAAACGTGTCCCATTTTCCCTTTCCCAAAAGAATTACAAAGACATCCCAATATCCAAATCCCAATTTTTAAATATACAAAAAATCTAATCTAATCTAAATAAACGTTAGATTTTTGAAAGAATGAATGAAAGATGGTAATATATATAATACATTTGCTTTTTTCATAAATAAATAAATGAATTAACGAAAGATTTAAAGGAATTAAAAATTCAACTCGATGCATTTTTTAAAATTTTCGCGATGAACGTCCACATTCTACGGAACCTCCGGCAGTAATACATACAGTGCCGCCAGGACATTGCCGAGTGACTACTAGGCCATTATCGCACGTATTATAAGAGGAACTTTTTCCAGAGTCAATACAGTAATCTTTTCCTTCGTTTTTGCATGATGATCCGTTTGATGCTAGTGGATTGTTAGATGCTTGGGGTGTGGTATTTGAAGTAGAACTTTTAACTGTTTTAATTTTAACTACTTTTCCTTTTCCTTTTCCCTTTCCTTTTCCCTTTCCTTTTTTCCCACCAGCTGGTGCAGGAGACGATGCGTTAGTGGGTTCTGTAGTATCAGTAGGTTCAGTAGCTGATGAAATTGTTGTCGATGTGCTCTCAGTAGCTGTTGAAGTTGTTGATGTGCTGCTCTCAGTAGCTGATGAGGTGGTTGTCGGTGTACCAACAGTAGCTGATAAGGTTGTTGTTGGTGTACTAGTAACTGAGGTTGTTGTCCCACTTGCTGGTGTTCCACTTCCGCTATCACTTGATGAACTGCTACCACCGCTTCCTCCAATATTCATTGCTAAATTAGCTGAGGTGTCTGAATCTAATGGACCGGATCCTTTAGCATTACCAGTATTTGCTGGATCGCCCGGTGGAGTGATAGTATTAGGGAATTGTGGTGGTAAATTAGCGCGGGTAATATCCATAATCGGTAATGGCTTAGTCGATTTTCCAACAATTTTGATATCAGCGCAATTTTGATAGAATTCACGATTTCCTACAGCGTTAATCCACGACCACGAGAAAAGACATTTTCCTGGATTATCACACGATGGCGCGGCATCCGGAATTTTCACTTTCCAATCGAAAAAGATATCCGGACAAGTTTGATGGTAAGTGGCAATAACAGTGTACGTCACACCACCGTCATACGACAAAGCAAATTCACATTGGCCACCATTGTGACGCGCTTGATTTGCTGTTGCATCGCTTGGTTGAGGGCCATTCGGAAAATTTGGATTCCAGAATTGGACAGATATTACGTCGCCGGCGTTAAATACTTGTGTGACTGTGGTGTCTTGTGGGTAGCCACCGCATGGGAACGCTTTTGGTGCGCAGCCCGCACCGCCATTCAATGGTGCTGAGAGACAGTTGTAGTCTTTTGTTGCGGCATTTGGGTTTAAGGGATGTCCTCTATTGTAAAATGGAAATATAAACTTGTTAAATTTTTTTTATTCACAAATTGGGATCTTTTCAGTGGCCTATGATTTCTTACCTTGGTAACGGATATTTCATAGTGGTGTGCGCCGATACAGAAGCAATTGAGGTCATAAGAAGAGCGAGACAAGTATAGAACTTCATGTTGAATTTATATTTTGGTTTGTGGTGTATGTGTTTCGAAAAAAATTTCAATACGAAAAAAAGCAAAATCGATTCGAGAGATACTAAAGTCTTAAAATAATATATATATCAATGCAAATTAACCCAACCTGGGGTGTTAAATTAGAAAAGTGGAGAGGGGAGAAGAGCAAGGAAAAATCAGTTCAGTAGTAATTATGTTCAGTAGGTACCTGACCTATTCGATGAGAAAAAACTTTTACAAGTTCAGTCAGTTCCTTTTTATAACTACTCATCAATGGCGTAGTTTTGTGCGCCAATTCCGTCTTTTGTTTGAATTAAGAAATTTTTGTTAATGCATATTCAATTTAGTATGCATGATCATGTATTTGTGCTCCTGTTTCCCTTTCTTTTTCAATTGTTGTTGCTCTATTAACATCATCTTTGTTTAGAATTTTAAGTTACAGCGATTGTTTATTGTAAGTTAATGACTATTTCCTGCCAATACGACATATCAAGTTACAAAGATTTTTAATTAATTTTCATAATTTTTATTTTACGATAACCTTATACTTTATACAGCATAACATAAATGTACATGTACATGTATCGGTACATGTATATTGTAAGCACAAACGGACAAATACGTAGAGATTGTTTGTTTTGATTTGGCACTTTGAATTATTTTGAATGCAAGCTTTTCCTATACTGTTTCATGACACAAATACCAATTGGAAACATATTCATCTTAACAAGATAATATCAGCATTAATATTAATTGTCGTTTTTTTATTATATTCTTAAATTTGAAAATATTTACCATGTATTTTGTGCCTTTTTGTAGATCACTTTCTTGGCACCAATACACATAGTGCGATTGATGTTTCGGACACGGTGGATGAAATTGTTGTGAGTTCGGTTGTTACCAAACACACAATACATAGACTTTCAACTGAAAAATGCACGAGATGGCTTTTGCCTTTACAAAAATAAATACGCACGATTTTATTATACTAATATATACTGACAAATAGTGATATTGTTTTACATTTCGGTATTAATTGAACATTTCCCTTCTTGTCTATACATGGATATGGTAATAGTTATAATTCAAAAATTTGATTGGTGGATCAACACAAAGATATGTTGATATACCAGAAATCATTGTTGTTGATGAATCAGTAATTGGTTAAATCAATAATATCGATGTTAAATCCAATCGACAAATTGCAGATGTGGTATGTAAATGGGCAAATTTCGATTTTTAGATTCCGAAATCACAAGGATAAATGTTCCCAATGATTGGTCCAAAAAACCTTAATATCTTCTGTTTCAACATTTCAATTGCAACAAAATAATGTTGATAGGAATTCTCATTGATTATACATGTACATGTACATGTACATGTACATGTATTTGCGTTATAGTTAATTCCACAAATAACTCGATAAAGAATTTTTTGAGCTCAATGTCTCCACGTTTCAAATGTACTTAATTTCGTCTAACTGAGATTATCAGATAAACCTGTTTGCCAACAAGATTATGCGCGGCGGCGGAGTTTCCGTATTACGTAAATTTTATTTTATGGAAATTTTTTTTTTGAATTTAGGAATTACTAAATATCATTACAATAATTAGTCTGCAATTGGTTCCCAAACAGTTGATTTAATTAAAATTTGTGCCAAGTTTTCTGATTTCAACAATGATAGTTTATTGGTAAGATCAAACCATTGACTTTTACATCTAAGGGGTTATGCCAGATAAAGTTAGTGACAAAGCAGAGGGCTGATTTTGACGAACGTATGCCAAATTGCTCAATTTGTGCGAAACATTTTTTTTACTTCGAAATTTGGAAATATTTTAGAGTTTTCATAAATTAATTTCATCATGATAACAATGATATTTTTACGGTTCAAAATTATGAAATAATGTGTTTCTTGCGCTAATGGACACACACACACACACACACACACACACACATATACAGTATATAATACGTAACATTTTTGAGTTTAATCTGTATCTTTTGTTCTTTAATCGTGAATGGGATAAATTTACTGAGAATTAGTGATAAATTCTAACTTTTCTATGTTCAAGTACGTGAATTTGTTAATTGCATGCAAGGGGTAGTATTACCTCTATTTTTCCTAATGGTTTCTAATGTTATACAGTAATGTTATTGAATTCAAAATGCAACTATTTGAGGAAAGTATCAGGAACTTCAAGAGGTCCACATGTAAAATACTATTATGATACCTACACTGCACCCCTTACTACCCTGTGATATTTATTACATTCCTGCTTTTGCAATTGAAGAAATAAGTGATAATAAAACATTTTATACACAGCACATTTCATTATCAATAGATATTGGTTGAAAAGTGATACCGTTGTTTGATGAAACTTCAACGTTCCCACCATCCTATGAAATTAGACGCAAGAACTCGCGCGCACAGTAAGCAACAGCAAAAAATTTTCTATTCCGCATACCTTAAAGAACCGATTTCCAATAGGTGATGGAGATTGGTACATAATATTCTATAAGCAAACGCGAACATAAGTTTTAATTATTAGGTTTTAATATCCAATAAATATAATGCCAACAATGAAAAAATTTATTGATTCTCGTGAATACATCATGCACGAATCGGAAAATCTGAGTTTCATGAAGACAGCCAACCGCACAATCAACTCGTTAAAAACCATATGACGATGATCTACTAAGCAGCAGCCTGACACATTTTAAAGTTCACAAGTTTCGAACCCTGACGATCAGTAAAGGCCTAACTACAGTGCCCTAGCAGAATATTGTGGACACTTTTAAATTTTAAATATCAAGCTAAATAAGCAAAATATTAAAACAAAAATAAAAAATTTTTGCATTCTTGAAAAGTATAGTTTTCAAACAAAAAAAAGAAAAAGACATTCCCATACAGTAGATTTTGAGAAAAACTTAAATTTAAAAATCTATGATTTTTTCATCAATACGAAAATCAAAGAAAAATATGTATACTCAGTGGTCGTTATCACACAAAATTACTACCATTTGATTCGCCATAATGGAACGAATCAGATGGTGGTATTTTTGTGCGATTCCGGTCACTGGGTATCGAGATATCGCAACGCGCTACCGCACACGATTTTCTCGTCACGTGATAACATTAATCACATGAGAATACCACAATTCGATTTTCATGTGATTATTTTTGTCACGTGATACGATATGCCAAATTAATTATGCATTTAATTTATGATATCTCGGTACCCAGTGATCGGAATCGCACAAAGGTGTTAATTTTGTGAAATTTCGTTCGCGCTGTGTACATGTATCAAGATATCTCATACATGTATTTATTTTATATCATAATAATTTCCTTATGATTTTCGTATTGATGAAAAAATTATGAATTTTTTAAATTCAAAAACTACTGTATGGAATTTCTTTTTCTTTTTTTGTTGTTTGTATACTTTTCAAGAATGCAAAATTTTTTATTTTTGTTTTAATATTTTGCTTATTTAGCTTGATATTTAAAATTTAAAAGTGTCCACAAATATTCTGCTAGGGCACTGTAATTGTAGACATTTCTATCATAACAATAAAATTGATATGCCACACAATTCATCACTTAACTTTATGATTCTCTCACCTAGGACTAAATATTCAACTTAATCCTCTTTCGTGGTAGATTCTTGAACAGTTTTAAACGAAAAATTTCTGTTTTGCTCAGTAAAATTTCAGTTCATTCTTTAAGTCTTAAATTATGCAAACCCAATTTAACGACATTTGTATCAGACTGGGCGAAACTAGCTTCGCCGAAAAACTAGTCCCATTATAAAGTCCTCCCTCAATTTTACTATTTAATTTGTGTATGGAATGTAAAGTATCCAGGCACTATAAGTCGTAATACGGTAATTTACCGTGCATTTCAAATTATTATCTGATGTTTGAAAGATTTGGCGCGTGGTTATAGTTAAGTGATTTGGTGCATATTTTATAAATTGAATAAATTTCTTAATTAAGAAGTAAATTCAAATTTTAATCCCATTCTATTATATTGACGGGTTAAATTTTGAATTTGCTTAAGTTTATTCAATTTATAAAATATAAATGGTTGGTAACTTTAGAGAGCATCATGGCCTTTTTGGCACAGTAGCAGACGCCGATAGTTCCACAAAGTCAACAAATTCCTTTAATTGCGATTGGTATTAATAATGGTGCTGGCATAATTTTATTTCTTAGTTGTATTGTCGTTTAATATTAAACTTTTTAGAAAATTTTCTAAAAGAGACCAAAAATAAATCATATGCCATGATATGCATATACGCAATCTCAATCTAGGGATTTTTATCCTTGTCATATTTACACCTAAAAAATTTCATCTAGTGTATGTTTAAAAGTAATAGAAGAAAATAATAAAAATTAGTGTCAACAATAACAAAAAGTGGAAAAATGCGACGCGTATATTTACCCATGTTGTTAAAATGCAATCGGGCGTTACTTTTTTGTGGGGAGCGGTTAAAGCGTAGTCCATCATGTGATCCATGTCCAATAGGGGTGTTTGATCAACAAATCCGACACAAGATATGAAATATGATTATTACTCTTACTCGAAAACCAATGCCTAAATCTGTCTTGGAATATTAATTAAAATTGGCGGGACTACAATTTTATATATAACTTGTGCTCTGCCCTAACCGTTACCCTTACCCAGACCTTATAAATCATAAAAATTAATAGTAAACTCTGAAAATTTAAGGGGATTGATCACATGATGGACTACGTTCTCTTTTTGTGGCGACTGTACAACAATAACAGTACATACATTCATTTCTTAACGTTAAGTTAATAATTTTTGCTTTTTTCATACCAATCTTTCAACTGCTAGTCAAATAATGACGGGTATCTATTGGAAGATAAAATAAATAAAAAATTCATTGAACGAGAATAAAAATGATTCAAGAAATTGATATCGATATATTTATTCTCAAAGACTCATTAGAAAATGTAGTGCTTAAAATCTACGATTTCGACAACTCGGTCAAGTCAATCCATTGTCAACAAATAATATCGATACCGCCAAACCCATATATAAAAGCAACGAAAGAAATATTAGCAAAGATCTTCTGGACAATTTCGATTATTATATCCTCGTATATTGTTGTGGTATCGTTTTATCTGTTGATCCATTATTGGAACAAAATTCCGGTATTATTTTTTGTATCATTTTTAATCGGATTAAATATTGAATTTTATTTTTTCAGTAGATTATCTCTAGAGCTTTTGTTATGATTTATTTGGCGTTTGATTTTTTGGCACGCTCAATTTTCACAATGGCTATCATTAAAGTGACGTATTTAGATGAGCTGTTTATTGCGATTCCAGCGGCAATTGCTATAGCTTGTGGTATTTCTTTTTGTCCATATTTTTATTTTTAAATTTGATATTCACACACTAATTGCTCAATAAATTTTGTGAATGAATTAGGAAAGGAAGATTACCTATTTCGCATAGCATTAGACATTGATGAAATAACCGCAGATGTATGCGACATTTATACAATGCTTAACACGATACTACTAATCCCTTTTCTAGTTGTTATTCTTCGAGATCCTACATACATCGAAGACACTTTATTTCAGTGGTTGACTGATGGATTGATGGCTGGAGCTTGTTTTATAGTAGCAAAGTGTGTGGGTCTATTTATTTTTGGTAAATTTGATCCGTTTAGAAATGATTTTATAAGCCAATAGTTTGGAAGTTTTTATATGATTTGTAAGCCTCGTTTTTATATATCCATTATTTATATGATATTTAGTGGCTCAGTTCAGAAAAAATGTATTTTATTCTCAATTATTGACCTATACAATATTTCATTTATTTTCATTGTTTATAAATTTTGTAATTAAGATCCGAATTTTTTTATTTTTACTAATAAAATTACAATGAAATAAAATGTTTCTTCTTTCATTTGTTTATTTAATTATGGGTCAGTGCAAAAAGATTTGTACCTCAATATAAAAATCAATAATTGCTTCTAATAAAAATCATTCAATATTTAATCAATCTTTATAATTTTTTTATATTAAATAAAAAATGATCTAAATTAACTTTTTATACTATTTTAACTATTC